ATCACAGCTCACAGCAACCTCCAACTCCTAGGCTGGGCTCAAACAAGTCTCCTGCCTCAGCCTCCCAAGTAGCTGGGACCACAGGCACCCGCCACAACACCCGGCCATTTTTTGGTTGCAGCCAACGTTGTTTCATGGGCCCGGCTGGATTCGAACCCACCACCTTAGGTATATGTGGCTGGTGCCTTAGCCACTTGAGCCACAGGCGCAGAGCCACATAATTTTTCAAGTACAATGACCAGCATACTGGTTGAAGATAACCAGACAGACGAGGAACCATGAATGTAAACTAGCAGAAATGGTAAGGCCCTCAAAGTCTAAAGATACTGGAATTACCAGACAGAGACACAATATCAAGAAGATGCTCACTATGTGTGATGGATCATGTTTTCCAAAAATGGCCACAATATAAATCTCTTTCATCCCACATGCTTTTCTTACAGTGTGACTTGATACTCTTCCCATCAAGGGATGAGGTCTGTGTCCCCTCCCTTTGAATCTGAGCAGGACTTATGACTCACTTTCAATTAATACAATGTGGTGAAAGTACTCATACATGACTTCCAAAGCTAAGACAGGAAAAATGAGGCAGCTTCTGCTTTGCTAAAACAACCATGCTGGAGGCACATACATAGTCTGCTCTAAAGCTATCACGCTATGAGAAATCACAAACAGCTTACAGGAAGAGACCACATAGAGACTACATGAAGACAGAGAAATAGCCAGCCCCTGACTGCACCAACTCTAGCCACTGGCTGACTGCAACCTCATGAAGGACCCTGGTGCACGACTACTCAAATACAGTAGAACCTCCATAGTTAACCACCTCCCTACATTGACCACCTCTTTAAGTTGACCTAACTTTCATAGACTAAACATGCACCACATGTACATATCAGTACAGCAGGCCTTGTTCCTTATGTTGACTACCTCTCTGTTAAACAGTTTGTTACGGTCCCTTAGGTGGTCAACATATAGAGGTTCTACTGTATGTCTTTCCCAGATTCCAGACCAACAGAAACCATCAGAGTTAATGATTATTGTTATTTTAAACTACTAAGTCCCAGGGTAATTTTTTACACAACAGTAGAAATGAAATACAAGTGTGAAAATAAGTACAAGGAATATGGGGTGGCGCCCTGTGGTTCAGTAGGTAGGGCGCCAGCCCCATATACTGAGGGTGGCAAGTTCGAACCTGGCCCTGGCCAGCTAAAACAGTAATGAGAATTGCAACAAAAAACAGCAGGGCGTTGTGGCGGGCTTCTGTAGTCCCAGCAACTTGGAAGGCTGAGGCAAGAGAATCGCTTAAGTCTAAGAGTTAGAGGTTGCTGTGAGCTGTGATGCCACAGCTCTCTACCCTGGATGACAAAGTGAGACTCTGTCTCAAAAAAAAAAAAAAAAAAAGTACAAGGAATAATAAATTATAAAAAGTAGTATTTGGGGAAAAAGAGAGCTGGGCAGATAGAGGCCAGAGGTGTATCAGCTCTGGAGACAGGCAGATGGAGAAGAGAGATGAGAGGGAAGACAAAGAACCAAAGACCAGGAATGGGAGTGAGACACAATCTGGAGGGAACAGGTAAAGAAACCAGGGGTGACACAGAACAGGAAGAACCATCACTGGAAATCCCAGAAGCCCACACACTGTGGGAAGTGACACTCTAGGCCTAAAGCAAATACCTCCAGCTGTCAGCTTGCCAGATGATGGCCATAGCTGGGTTCACCCCAGCCCCCACCTATGCCTTCACTAAGGCCTTCAGTTCCTACCTCATCATCAGGAGGCCCTGGCTCCCCCAAGCCAGCACTCACAGAGGGAAGAGGTGGTAGTAGGAACTGCCAGCCCCTCAGGGATTCCACAAAAGCTGTCTCTCTTAAAAGGGGCCCCAGCTCAGGCTTGCCAGGCTTCTGGGCAGGAGGCTCCCAGCCTATATCTGCCAACAAAGGCTGCTGAAGCTCACGAAGGCTAGGATTGTCCATGGCTGAGGGGAGAAGCCAGGAGGGACTGCCTGGGGGTAAGAGGAAGAAAAAGACAAGTTATAAAAGTCTCACTTCATCCTGACCCCTGACTTTGGAGAAACTCCTGAACTATTATAACTCAATGACTACTTATAATAGTACAATGACCTGCAGATCCATATTACAGATAGGAAAACTGTGGCTCAGAGAGTAAAACAGGTTGGCCCAAGCTACAAAAGGAACTCATAGGTGGCAACATTCAATTCTGGGTTTCTCTCTCAGGCAAAAGCCACATACCTGTTGCATACTTATTCCAAACCATGCCTTACATACTGTACCACCAACTCCCCTAAACCCATCCCAGGTGCACACCCCCTAATTACCTTCCAGGCCACATATCCCTCTGAGGTACTCATCCACCCACCCCCAACTCCCAATGCTGCCTGGAACTTCACCCTAGCTTACACTTCCGCTCCCTTGCCCCCCAGACCTGCACTCCAAGTCCCCTGCCACACAGCTCCATCCAGCCATCCAGGCAATCCCAACTCTCACCTTCCAAAGGACTCCTTGTGTACTTGCCCCAAACAACATCAGCTTCCAGAAAACACTCCTCTCTGGTCTGCTAACTTTTTTTTTTTGCACTTTGGCCAGGGCTGGGCTTGAACCCACCACCTCCGGCATATGGGGTCAGCACCCTACTCCTTTGAGCCACAGGCACTGCCCTGGCCTGCTAACTTTTTACACATATATCCCCAATGACGCTTTGCAGGCTCCTAATCCCCATCAGAAACCACACACATGGGCTCAGCGCCTGTAGCTCAGTGGCTAGGGAGCCAGCCAGGTACACCAGAACTGGAGAGTTTGAATCCAGTCTGGGCCTGCAAAAAAATAGCTGGGCGTTGTTGTGGGCGCCTGTAGTCCCAGCTACTTGGGAGGCTGAGCAAGAGAATCGCTTAAGCCCAAGAGTTAGAGGTTGCTGTGAGCTGTGACACTACAGCACTCTACCCAGCCATCCAGGCAATCCCAACTCTGGTGACAGGTTGAGACTCTGTCTCAAGAAAAAAAAAGAAACCACACACGTATGCCTCATAACACTTCCCTCACCTGCCCCAAACATTCATCCAGGTCCACGCACCCCTCTCCTATTCCACCCACACCGACCCCACACAACTCCCTGCGCACCTATCAGCTCTCCAAACACCTGGTTTAGAGACACCTCCCCCCATGCCACCCTCAAGACCAGCACACACGTCCACGTCCACACTCAACACAACCAGAAATAATATTCTTCTCGCCCTACGATATGCCCTGTGAGACCCCCCACAAGCCTCCCGCCCTTTCACCCCAAACCTTGAGCTGATTTCCTAGCCAAAGGACGGGGGAGGGGCGGTGGCCCTCCACCTCCACACTTCACTCACCGCCCACGTTTCAGGCCGGGACCTCCTGGACCCTTGCACGGACACCAGCCTGGACCCTGCCGCTAGCAGGGTGGGCGGACTCAGTAAGCTCGGTGCTGCGCGACGGGGCCGGGGACACGGAACCCGAGCGCTCGGCTCCTCTTGGGTCTCCGCGCCCCAGGCCCGCTGCGCGCTGAGGAAGGGACGGGGCGGGGCGACGGCCTCCCGGGCTCCGCCCCTCGGCGGCGGCCGGGCCTTGAAGGCAGATGTCAACGACTGAGGGCCACTCCCTGCTAGCCCTGTGTGTGGGGAAGCGGGCGGGAGGCCTTGAGGACAGCGGCCCCTATCCCCCAAGCCCAGGCCCAAACTCTGCCGACAGGAGTAGAGGGTACCCCGGATTCTCCCAGGACCTTCTCGTCTGGGCCCACGCCTCCCCTCCCTGTCCTCCGTTGTCCAATAATAGCCAATAATAATAATAACAGCAAAACGCTGCCCTATTTTAAGTGCTTACACACACACTTACACATTTATTCTTCAGAACAACCCTGAGAGGCATTATCATTTGTTGTCTTGTTTTAGGGGGAATGAAACATGCAAACAAAGGTTAGGTGGTTTTGCCTAAAAACACACATCTGTTCACTGAGTGCAGACTGTGCCCCAGGTCCTGTGTTAAATGCTTTACATTCATCGCTGCATTCATTCCTCTCGGGAGCTTTGTTTATATTCCTGTTTGATAAAAACAGAAACTGAGTCTCAGAGATATATGCTTGCTTGGGGTAAACAACTGGTACTAGGACCAGCACGTGGTACCCCAGAGCTGTGTTTCTTGCTGACCCAGTGGGAGAGGAGAAAGAAGAGACAGCAGGGGCTCCCAGCGCTGAGGAGGGGGGCCCAGGACAGGTGCTGCTTATCAGGTGGTAGGGTGATGTTAACCAGCCAGAGTTTGAATCCACACAGATTTGGTTTCCTTTCCCCACTCTTTAAGGTACTGGCTGTGTGACCTCTGAACAAAGGTTTCACCTCTCTGAACCTCAGTTTCTTCAAGCCAGGAAAAAGGGATAATACTCCTTGCCTCTTAGATCTGATAACATATATAAAGTACATAGAATTGGGCCCAATAATTTACCCACATCCTGGCGTATTTGAAAGTGTCTATTAATATTATTATTTAGATCCATCACCATCAGTCTGATTGAAAGACTCCTCGCCCTGCAGGCATCCACTTCCATCAGGGGTCCTATATTGGCCTCCTCTCCCCAGAAGCCCTCCAACTTCCCAGACTGGAGGATTCCCCAGCCTGATGTGGGTCCGCGGGAGTTCCCTGGCTTCAGCGCTTCAGGGCTCCATGCCAAGAGTCCAGACGCTGGAGCTGGCACTGGCCCCACTCCTGGGGAGAACAGATGGCGTCTGCAAGTGCGCTTGGCTCAGCCAGAGTTTTTGGCAGACAACAGAGACAGGGAGACCCATGGGAAGGTAGAGGAGAGGGAGAGGGGGCAGGATTGTTTTACCCAAGAGAATTACCCTGTTACTGTCCCTTTAACCTTGCTCTAGTTGTTTTCTCGAATTACCATGAAACATATTGTATATGTATGTTTGCTCCCACTGCAGCATCCACTCCAGAAACACTGGGATTTGATCTCTTTTGTTCACTGCTGTGCCTCAGGGCCTAAAACAGTGCCTGGCACAAAAAGGGCCTTCCTTACATATTTGTGAGATGAGGCCATGAATTCCCACCAGCCTCATTTTTATTACCCTATCACTGAGCTCTATGGGTTACATCCTCCCCCTAGACCACCCTAGAGATTAATTCACTTTCAGCCAGAGCTCTGGCCACCATCAGCCATGTACAGTTTCCCCAACTGCATGGTAGAGGGGATGGCCTAGACCTCTTAGAGCAGGCATCCTCAAACTACAGCTTGTGGGCCACATGCCACCCGCCAAGGACATTTATCTGGCCCACCAGGTGTTTTTGCGGCCACTGCCTGTCCTGCTTAGGAACCAACTTATCCCTGGGCCTGCAGTCTGGCCCTTCAACAGTCTGAGGGACAGTGAACTGGCCCCCTGTTTAAAAAGTTTGAGGACCCCTGTCTTAGAGTTTGTGATGAGTCTGGAATATATATATATATATGTTTGTTTTCTTTTTTTAAATAGTCTCATTTTGTCACCCTCGGTAGAGTGCCGAGGCATCACAGTTCCCAGCAATTTCAAACTCTTGGGCTCAAGCTATTGCCTCAGCCTCCCAAGTAGCTGGGACTACAGGCGCCAGCCACAAGGCTGTGCTATTTTTAGAGACAGGTCTTGCTGTAGCTCAGAGCTGGTCTTTTTTTTTTTTTGAGACAGAGCCTCAAGCTGAGCCCCTGGGTAGAGTGCCATGGCTTCACTGCTCACAGCAACCTCCAACTCCTGGG